AACCGAAACAATAAAATTGAATTTCCCTTTCATCGAACTTTTTCTATACAATTATTTTTTTTATTGTGATGCAATTGTGTTTTAAAGATCGAATATTTCAGTGAATACTATGAATGCAATCGAATGATTTCGCAGCAATATCAAAGTGGCTTACCGGCTAAAAATTGAACCAGAAATCTGCTTTTGCCTACTAATCATTTCTCTTAGAAAAAATTGATATCTGCTAGAAGATGTTCTTAAAATAAACAAATATTTATTCATATCTCTTTGCATATTTTTCATTTCTTCTTGAAGCACTTCTCTAAGAAAAATAACGATTTCGAATAGAAAAAATCCATTTCTGCTAGATACGTTCCTTAAGAAGAAAAAAATAAAATGATCCGTTTCTCTCTAAGTCTTTTAGACTTCGCCTTATCAATTGAGATATGGATGGAGTGGTTCTCTTTGGTTTTGTTGTTTTTCTCTCGGAATGATGTGGTCGAATGAAGGTGGTGTGTTTGTGTAAAAGGGTTTCTTTCTGACTTTTTGTGGTTGAAGCATTTCTGCTTGAAGTGGAACAATTTCTCTTTGATAGGGGGATATGGTCCAGCCCTCTCACATCCACACACCCACACGCCCCACACCCACACGCCCCACACCCACACCCACCCACACCCACCCACACCCACCCACACCCACACCCACACCCACACCCACACCCCACACCTACCCACACTCCACACCCACACCCACCCAAAATACAAGCAGCGTGGCGCAGTGGAAGCGTGCTGGGCTCATAACTCAGAGGGCGGTAGATCGAAACTACTCGCTGCTATCTTACATTTTTTATTTGTAACCTTTCGTATACCTCCAAAATCTGATGCAATATCTTGCAATGCAGAACTGAACAGGCAAAAGATTTCACAATAACAAGCGTCCTATGCATCGTCATGCAAGACGATCGATTGAATATATGTTATTCATGAATAGTGGTTGTTGAAGTCAATGTAAAAGTTCATTTTGTACCTTGTCAAAATTTGTTATTTCGTCTTCTTAAGTGCACGTTTTTCGTACTCTATTAAGTATTTTGAAATTAGACTTGAACACTGCATGGCATAGTTAGTTAGAACAGGGTAACTCAACTAATTAACCCGAGTATAGTGGTGAAAGTAGTTTTGTAAACACGATAAATTGTTTGTTTTCAGCATAATATGTGTTGAATTCGAGAACGTTTCAACTCATCACGTGACGAGTTGAACAAACAGCAAAAATCAGACCTTTCGTAACACCAAAAATAGGGATATCCAAAAATACAGGGATGTCGTAACGAAATTTACTGGGCGATCGTAACGATTAATACAGGGAGTTCGTAACAGTTGCAGAGTTTTTGCAACGAAGCAACAGGGATTTCGTAATGAGGATGAGGGTGATAGCTGGACTTAGTTTGCAGAAATTACATGCTTTTCGTTACGAAAGCTCTGTAATGGTACATATTAAAACACCAATTACAATCACCCTGTAAAATTTGTTATGAAACCTCTGATTTTTTTGTTATGAAAGCCCTGATTCTGTCGTTACGAACGCTCTGTCACGGGCTTTCGTACTGTCAATTCGTTACAAAAGCCAGACAAGAAAAAACGTGACGAGTTGAAACATTCCCTTGAATTCGTTCGAAAATGATAAAATTGACCAAGAAAATATAAATAAGTGTAAATACTACTTAATTCAAAACTCGCATCAGCACATTATTGAGACTTTGTATGTAGATAAGAAATAACAGAATTTGCAAAGTATCGTTACAAGCCGTTCGAGTTTGAGAAACTTTTAACTGTTTCGGGTGATTTCTATCCTCCTATCTAGGGCGAAACCAGCCGGCGGTCAACCATCTATGAGGAAGGTTTAGTTACCGAATAATAAAGAATAGCGTTTCTACAATCGAAAGTATACTTTCAACAGATTATCAAACAAGTTGAAGGCTATGAGATGTATTTTATACAAATAATAGAAATTCCTTTTTCTTCCATTATATATGTAAAAGAGAGATAAATTCAATAATTTTACCAAAAAGTATAATTTTACACTTTGTTAAATTTCATTTTTGTCTGAAAGATAGACAGCAGTCCTGTTACGATTCCTGTTGTAAAAGTAAGACGCCATTGCTTAAATGATAAAACTTTATTGGTACTACGTACGGATTAGAGAGAAGTTGGGTTTTTATTATGACCATTTAAAATTTCATATTCCTAAACCTTCTCCATTAGAATGCCAAAAAAAGATGAAATTTCGTAACGGACACTATTTTTCATTTTCTAATCGATGCAAACACTCATGTGAAGAAAAGACCTAATGTTTCGAAAGCTTATTCAAAGCTGAATAATTTTTAAATAGAACGCTTATTTCTTTCTTGTTGAGTTTCGTAGTAAAGCGTTAAACTTTCAGTACACCCTAAAAAAGAATTTCATTTTCGAAATTCCGTAACGGTCGATATTTTTTTAAATAGTTCTGCTCTGGTCAAAGAAAAATGAGTGATATTTATACGGATATTAGGTCTAAATAGTCTCTATGTATGATAAAAATTTTAGAAAGTTTACGTTTATTATTGAGGAGATACAGTTATTCAGTAGTGTCAAACTTGAAACTTGAATTCAATTATTGAAGTGCTGTTTCAGCTAATCAAGTATTCAACCATTCAATTATCTCTTTTCTTGGCATCCACACCAGCTACAGACAATTGAATAGTTGAATAGTTGAACGTCAACTATTAAATAATTGGATACTTGAATAATTGAATTCAACTATTCAATTATTCAATAATTGAATAGTGGAATTCACGATTCAAGTTTGACATATATGAAGATGACACAGTTTGTTGCTGTTGAATTGTAGATGATAATAAACTATACTCTTGTTCATATGAAAATGATGAAGGGATGTTTTCTTGTTGTTGTTCAATAGCAGGTGATGATAAAATTTGGTACTATTTACCTGTAGCTGATAAAGGAAGTTTTTCTTCTTGTTATGGAATTGTACATGATAATAAACTATGCTATTCATCTGAGAATGATGTAGAAAATTTTTCTTGTTGTTGAATTGTAAAAGATGATAAAATTTGTTGTTGTTCATCTAGAAATGGGGAAGGAGTTTTTTCTTGCTGTTGTTGGATTGCAGATAGTGATAGAAATTGTTGTTGTTTACCTGGAACTGATGAAAGGATTTTTTCTTGTTGTTCTTGAACTGTAGAACATGGTAACCTTCCTTGAGGTGGAATTGTAAATGATGAAGAATGAGAGTGTGGATGTGGGTGTGGGTTTTGAGTGTGAGCGTGGGCGTGGGCGTGGGTGCTGGTCTTGTCTTCTCTTTGTGCACCCCCACATCCAGGTCGAAACAAAGAGTGCCGTAAACTTTATAAAACGGCATCTTTACGTCACCATTTTCCATAAGCTTCTAGAATGGTGGAAACAATAAGAGCAAGGGTTACTGCTCGTCTGCAAAAAAAACTAACTGATGGATTATGGGGGAAATTCGATGAAGCTTAATGCAATACTGCGATGTTTCTGACAAGTTGAATGATTCCTCTCAGATATTGAAATAGTCATTAGTAGCAATATGTGATATGATTGACAACAACTAATTATTTCATTTTGTTTGTGACAGTATAATGATACGATGACTCATCACGCTAAGGAAACCGAAGACTGATTTCTGAAGAGATGTTGATCCATCTCTAGAGTGTTAAGGAAAACATTCCGATTGCAATATTGATAAGAACTAAAAGTAATCTCAGTTTTTCGGATGTATATTTCTTCGAAAACAAACAGAATTTCAAGTAATTATAACAATTTAAATAAAAATATACTGATAAAATTAGAAATTTGCAGACTGAAGTTCTACAAAACACACATCGCAATTTTTTATTGATATCCAATGTTTGAACAAAAAAAATATTCCAACTTGTTACCGTTAATAAACTCAATCACATTTGTTATTTTTTGTCTTTTATTGCCTTAAGAACAAGCTTTATCATATTGTTGAACAATTTTTTTTAATTCATCATCAATTTTATAAACATGCATCTCGTCGTGTTCCATGGGAAATTTGGCATGAGATGGTTGTACAAGTATTGCTTTATTTAATGGAAAATTGAATGGATAACAATTAATATTATTTTGGTACCAACCACCATCGGTAATGGCCCCATCAGTGCAGTAATTTTTATTTACACATCCAGTTGGTGTCAATGGTAATGGTTCATTGTTTCCTATTGAACGAGTGTTTGGTGCTGAAGATTTCCCATTGGGTGGATATGTACTTAATGCAAAAAATTTTGCTCCTGACATAACTACATTTCGTACAGCTTTTAAACCATTTCGAATATGCATATGTTGTATTGCATCACGAACTATAATTAAATCAAATTGATTGCCATTTATTTCATGTGTAGAATTTTTATATGTGTAGGTTGGTATCGGACAATTGACAAGATCCCAATATTGAAATATTTTATTATGATGTCTAGATTTATATAATTTTTGATTTTGTTTTATTACACTTATTGATATATCACCACCGAAATAAAGGTCTTCAATAGTATTAATTTCTCGAAGACTAAATTGCCAATAAGTGTCACCACAAGGTATATCAGCTATTGATCGAATTGAGTAATGTTCAAATAATGTTCGTAAATGTCTCAACCAATCATAAGTACCTTCTAATGAAGAGCCTTCACCTGATCGACTACCATATGAACCCCATAGTTTATTGTCAAAAATATTATCAAAGCTTTTCTGACGTATAAGTGATGATGAGTCATTTTGAGCGCTTTTACATTCATTATCAAGTGAATAAATAAAAGAATGAGATAAAATTGTTTTAGTTTTAGCAGAATTCCAATTATTAATTAGACTTGCATTTTTTGACAATGAAAACCTGATATATCCGTGGTGATTAACAATTAAATGACTATAGAAATAATATAATGTCACTATAATATTAATTACAACCGTGGCACCAAATACATTTAAACAGCTTCTTCTTCCTAAAGAAGATACAATTGAAGTAAGAAGAATAGTTGATCTTTCAGCAAAGCTATTCTAAACTTTCTTTATGGTTCATACGATAACTATAGGTAAGAATAGATAAACTAGTCTAATATGAAATCTTCTCTTGATTAACCACTTAAACAGTCAATATGAGTAGTCTTCAACGATCATCAGAACGAACAAGGTAGAAGAATAGATATAGTAGAGTGCTGCAGAGTAAGGTTTTCTCGAGTTCTGCATCTAACTAGTTCGTTTCTTTCATATATCGGTGCGACATTACAGTGATCAGTTAGGGGTTCTAAATTAGTTGTCATCCTCTAATTTAAGATATGAAAACTTGAAGGATATCTACATACATTATCGATGTCTCATGAGGAAACCACCCCAGATGCTAAAAAGCTTTTGAGCTCAAACTTCGTCCATAAGTGGTGGCTGTATAGACTAGCAACACCCTAAGATGATTCGGGCGCAAGTTGTGATTTGGCTGAGATAT